ACCATTATCACACTCAAGAAAATCCTCAATTTAGTATCATCTAACACATGCACCATACGCAAGTTTCCTCTTTTGTCCCCAAAATGTCCTTTATGGCTGCCTCCCCCACCCCCAATCCATTCAAAATTCATGCACGGCATTTGCCAACCTAGAATATTCTTCCCCTAACTCTCCTCCACCTAACACTTTTTTCTGTTCTTCAGAATACTGACTCCTTTAACGAGTCCTGTCTGGTTGTCCTACATAACACCCCATATTCTAGATGTGACAATGTCCTTGCAGTTAGATTCAGATCAAAGACTTTTAGCAAGAGCACCACACAGGGCTTGCTGGGCACTTCCCATTACATCACATCAGCACATATGTTGGGCAACCTCACTGTTGGGCCTGCCAAGCTCAGCCACTCAGTAAAGGTGGTAACCACCAGATCACTGTATTTTCAAGGCATATTTTTCTTTGCTATTAACAAATATTATGTAATCATTTGAGGCTACCTGGTTATTTTTGCTTCCTAAAAACCTTCCTTTGAATAGTTTTGATTAATTGATGATTATTGCCTAATTCAACCATTACATTGATGATGACAAAAGTGATTTTTAAAATTATATTATTCCTTTCACATTTATTAATTGGCATTCTTTTGTTTTTCATTTTTTTCCCTGTCTTGCCTTTTTTTTTTTTTTTAAATCTCTATGGACTCATGGAGTTTTGTTTCTTAGTTCACTGTTTTACAATTGATTGTCTTCATTATCTATCATTTTTTGATTCTCAAATTGTCTCCAATGTAGCCTCTGGGAGTTTCTTCAAACCTGCTTCCAACATTACCCCATGAGCCTTTGAGTACTCACTTTCCAACATTCAGTCATTACTCCAAGGAGCTCTAGTGTCATTAGTGAGAGTGGTATTTAGGATCAATATCTGGATGCTCAGTGTGCTCACTGCTACCAGGATGCCATTTTAACAGGTTGCTTTTAATCTCTTATCCACTGCATGTATCACATTTTTATTAAGACTTTGGAAAATATCCCAGGGTTGTAGTTACTTCCAAGCCTGTGATTTTGAGGTTCCTTAAACATAGATGTCATTTCTCTTTGCTCCTCACTTTCTGTTTCTCTTTTAATACTTCTAAGATCTATGCAATGAATGATACAAAATCACAACTACTTGTCCATATAATTAATACTATTTTATTCTACTCACATCCTTGTCCAGCAAGCATCAAAGGACACCGTATGCTTACTGTTTGTATACACACGCAGATGTACTGTGTGACTACTATAACACACATATATACATACACATGTTTCTTTGTTAAGAGACAGGTTACTCAGAAAATGTAAGTAATTAAAAATGCACCCTTTTGAA